AAAATCATTTTTTTTTAAATTATCATTTATTTAACGTTTGAACAATTATACACAAACACCCATAATAACATAAAAAAGGAAGCAAGGAAACATGAGAATTCAGATGCAAATGAGCTCCATGTCAGCATAAGAATTATTTTAACCAGAGCCTTAAATTCTCTCACACATAAAGTGCAAGAAAAATTGAAGACTATATTACAGAAGAATCGCAGTTAAAAAGGGCCAGAAAATGTTAAATGAACTTTCATTTCCTCAAGAACCATATTTCACTATGATTGGCTTCTTAACCTCATGTGTTTTTCCTTCAGCCTCAGCCTGAGCTCTTTTTTATAGCCTCTCTTTCTTTTGAGCCGTTTCTCAAGCCTGTGCTTGAGAACCATCTTGAATAAGCTCGTTGCTGCACACGAAAGAGGAAAAAAAAATTTATCCTCATGAACAGAAAGCTTCACAATGGTACAAGAACAATTAAATTTATTTAAATCAAACAACGAGAAGTTTAACAAAAAGGCAATTGAAAGGGGCCCCTAATAACAAGGGCAGATCATTGTTGGATCACCAATTTTTGGAGCATCAATCTTACTCTTATACTCCTTAATTACAATTAACATGATCCTCATTCCCACGACTCTCTTCTTTCTGCTCGAGGGAAGAGATGATTCTCCATTAAGCCCTTCTAGCGCCATAACATTTTTGTATGCCACAAAGAGGAGGTTCCTTTCCTCGACAGTCAACTCCTCCGTATTGACTCTTTGTGCTACCTTATCCATAAACTCAACCATTTCCTCGTAGCGCTCAGCCTGTTTGGCTAATTTGGCCATGTATACATTTTCCTCGCATGATGAATCAGCTGGCGACATTTTTAATGTGCTATAATACTCAAATCTGCACAAAATTTGGAGAACCTTGAAATGTCAAAATACGAATTAATATGCCGAAACATCTATGTAGAAACTAACTACGGACCAATACTAATATCTAAGATAAAACCTCAGCTTTGCATTTAACTACACAATTACAACTTTGATTAAAACGCTTTTCATTCAACAAACTACATCT